GATCTTCTCATATCCTGAGTACTGCTGGTAAATTAAGGACGCGTTACCTTCATAATCGTATTCAGTGGGAAACAGTCCAAGAGTCTCTTGCTAAGTACTGAATCCATCAGTCCCATCGGAGATGTGTTTGTTCATGGCTTACTAGTGGCAGAATCGACCAACCACTTCCTAATATGCACACAGGACATACTACTCAAATTAAACTTAAGCAGTACGCTACTGCAGTTATAATTGTGTATGGTATTGTGTAGTATTTATTGTACTTTACGAGATGGGGTTGTGTTGTGTTTGAAAGCGGATTTCTGTGCATTTCAATTACAAAGACAAACACAAATCAGTTGCTGGAGAAAACAAAAAAAATCAAAATTACATCAACATTATTCTTTCCCACGATTTCGTGTCTATTGTTTAAGATATGGAGCAAATAGAGGACAGGGGACATTTTATTCGTATTGATCCCAGTCGAAGTAAACCGAAAACGGGGCAGATACGAATAGAAATGAATTCCATAACGGCACTTATAAACTGATAAACGTTGAAACTGGCCCCACGCGAGGCCTTAGCAGACTTAGAAAACAGCTAAGGGTTGCTGTACTTTGTTTCTACGTAAACGGTGCTACTACAGCAACTGGCAAAATGAGATATTATGAATAAATCCAAAGGATTTATGACTAGGCTCTAGGACACCATCCTCCAGGCAAGTTGAAATGAGGCGGATATTATAGAGTTTAAACGGATATGCACAATTATATACATAGAAATATAGAATGACTGTAAGCCGTTTTTGTGGAAATTACGGTTCGATTTTTAAATTCGGTCATTTAGATATTGAGTATGTAGCTGTGGATGGAAATTGTGATTTACAAACAGACTACTCTAATAATAAAAGTAGCCGAAGCATAAATGATAAACATTTTATATCTTACCCGAAGAATCAATACAGAATGAGTACAATGCCTATCCAATACAGTTATAAATGAGAGAAGTGGCTGATGACAGTAATACAATTACAAGGGGGCTGTAAAATATGTTTGAAGAAATTCATAAAAAGGTGCATGGAATCGGTAAGAAGCGAAACAATGAATAGAACAAATTAAAAAGGAAGAAATTACAGATGACTTGGTAATAAACTGTTAAAACTTACGATTATGAAGGTAACGCGTCCTTAATTTACCAGCAGTACTCAGGATATGAGAAGATCAATAAATTTTACCTTCGAAATATACCCCGATGTACCTAATAGCATTCACCCTACAAACGAGAGCAACGTCAGTTAGACAATGTTTACAGTGGAATGAGACGAACCTTTTGGAACTCAAAATGCAGTTACTGTACAGTTTATGAACCTTCAAATTAAACGAGCAGGCCTGACCAATATAATTATAGTGATTGATTGGAGGAGCAACTGTGTGATTATTGTCTGATAGCTGATATCAATAACTGGAGACTGCAATGAAAATTGTCGAACTGGAGATATTTGATGTTCGTATGGTCACAGTGAAACAAGCGATATCCAATGAATCGGAGTCATCCTATTCCAGCGACGCGCCCGGAAATCAGCTCAATCAACAGTGTTTAAACGTAACCCCAAGCCGCGGTATGATAATTCCGGTAGCGTGAAAACCATCTACCAATGTGTGTTAAGAAGCCTGGCATCAGCATTCCACTGGCCGTTTCCGGCAGGCCATGAATGTGCAAACAATTGTTGTTTAGCCTGACCGAACTTTGAGCTCAGTAGAAATCAACCAGTCCAGTGATGATCGTGCGTTTGTGTAGGATCATTTCACGTACAATTATATTTTGATACAATCCAGAGTGTAACAGAAATTCTTTGTTCATACTACTACCACTACTCCTACTATTTCTGCCGGTGTATTGCTATCTTTCTATCCCAAATCCACACACTGTACGTCTAACTTCTGCATGCATTTTCTGCGTTACGGGACACGAACTCAATTTGGGTGGTATTATTTCTCTGATAACGCTGCTTCGTCCCTATTCATTTCCTGCTCATCAAAAACAGCTCATCCTTCCTTGTCACTGCCTATCTACGATCAGTCGAATGTGTTTACGCACATCTGTAACGACAGATCGCGAGGTGTTCTCACAGCGCTGAAGGTGTGTACGTTCAGACAGCTACTATAAAAGTTGACGGTGAATCGATCTGGTTACGTAACTGATTTGGATATGCGACATTAATCGATAATAGCACTCGTACTTATACGTTTATGGCCAGAGGTGTATCATTTGTGAAGTTCAGGGAGGTGACAAAATGTCACTATCTAGAAATGACAAATCATTGTCTACGGAAGTCGGTCTGTATTGGCGAATCCGTGGAGCAAGAAAGTCTCCGTCGATTGATATCTGTCGGAGAATTGCAACTCATAGAAACAAAAAAGTAGTATTTTGCGAATGAAGACAAACTCTGCAACACACTGCATTTCCAAAATTACCTCAGCTCTTTTTCTACCTAGTTTACCACTCGATGCTAGCCTCTCTCTCGGCACGCACACCTCGATAATACGGCTCTGCTTACCCTATTGTGTTTTGTCACACTGGAATAATCGGACTTTCTAGCTCAGTCTACAAATTCGTTTAAGCTCCGACGCAAAAAGCTTACATTGACTCCTAGTGAATCCGTATGGGGAAACTGATGGCTAATTTTGAAAAGTCTGGACAGCAGAGTGTCTCGATTCATAATTTTTCTGACAAAAGAATTCGTGGGTGACTCATCCGTACCGCGAATGAGCACGACACAAACTGAGCACAATTGATGTGTAATGAAAGCATGTATTTGAAATCGAAGAACGAACAGAGATATAGATATTGATTCATTTCTCCACCAGGATTTAGACATCATATTTGTTTCCGTTTTACTTCCTTTTATTGAAAACATAATGATACACTTTTTCTGGACAGGGGAAGCGACCAATCAAAGAGATGCTGTACGACACCCATCTAGTGGGGGAAATCAGGCGGTGGTCGTGGAGGGATTCGAACACACGTCCTCCCGGATGACAGCTTGGTGACGTTACCACGGCGACCTTGCCACCACCACTGCCACAAATCAAACATTACTAATCGGCTGGCACGTGCTGTATTTTAGTATCCGTAACATAATCCCAATTTTTTAACATTTGTTTACATCCTCTCGTCTATGCTGACTCCCACCCCCCTTCGCGCTCACGCGCTTCAATAGTACCGTCCCGCACGTGTTGTGCCCCTGTTGTTTTATTTAAATCTTCAGAAAATTGGTGTTCGGAGAACTGCCACCATGCTCCTCGGTCGACCAGACAATATGAACCGCATATTCTCTTTTGCTTTTACTGATACACTTACAAATTCTAGTGGGGGTGGATAGAACGGAATTAATATGAATCGTTTCATATGCGTGTAAAACTGAGTGTAATAAATACTCTGCATTACATGAAAATATTGTATTTGATAAATAGTAGCGCATGGGTTGGAATAGTGATGAATTGGAAAGAGGAACGCAAATCACATCAGTACAATGAATACTTGGTGTTGGTGGTGGGGTATTTTGAATACTGGATGATATACAATGGTGCATCTCTAATTGATTTGAACCTAGAATAAGTGGTTGAGACTATGGTTAATTCTATCTGTATTTGATGAAACAGTTATGTCGTCGACGCGATTAAAACTTGCTAGCGAAAAGTCTGAAAGAATGTACACCTATTCTCACTGATAAGATTCGGGGGTCAAGCCGTGTAAATTATGGGAGCTACTGGTATTGTTGCGAGCTCCTACTCATATTTGTGATTAGTATAGTTGGATTACACAAACGGATGTGTTTGACCGTTTCTCACAACAGTCAAAAATTAACAAAAACTCTTAGAACGAATTACTGTTATGAACAATGGTAACTACAATCCGTTCCATTCGTCATTCTGTATGCTTGTGAGAATTTTGATGGCATGTGCCAAATAAGACATCTTGTTGTACGTACGTCACTTTATCCATACCCTTATCGTTGTTTGCAATGAGCAATTCTCTTCAAGCCAGTACTGGTCTTCTCTGGAGGTTTAACAGTCGGACTCGAACACACTACATCGTGGCTCATGTTGTGACTGCCTGGCACTTTCGCGGCAGTTTTATCTCGGTTACAAAAGCGTGATGGTTAGGCGTGCATTCAATGCTGAACCAGCTTATTGATATTGATTGTGAAGATTAGTCAGTAAGAAAAAAGATACGTGGAGAGTATTTTGTAATTTGAGGGTTTTGGATAGTTCTAATTATCATAAAAACATGAAAATAATGGATATCGACTTGAATAAATAACAACAACATCGTACCATTCAAAATACCTCGTGTAAACTCATCGAACACGCAACAGAACACTCGAAATCGGGCCGGGGAGATGAAGACCCATCACAAGCGATGAGGGAACCAAATCTCATGTGTTCTATTCACCAACAACATTCTAGCGGACAAAACCCGTCATTCCAACCCCATTCCAGATTACTTCCCCAAAGGCATGAGCTAACGCATTGAACACAAGTGGATGACTCATCCGTACCGCGAATGAGCATGACACAAACTGAGCACAATTGATGTGTAATGAAAGCATGTATTTGAAATCGAAGAACGAACAGAGAGTTAGATATTGATTAGCAAGGTTCTCATCAGCGTCACACAAGAAGGTTAGTGTGACAGAAATTATGACAGTCAATCGGACAATTACGCTCCCCTTAGCACGCTGTCGTCTGAAAACAACTCCACCGCTCATGACGACAATCCGATGAATCGTATCAAATATTCCAACGACTCCAAACGCAAACACAATATCGGCTCGTTCGTGGTCGAATTGGCCCGCTCCGTGAACGCCAACCATTCCGCATACACCGTATCGATTGTGTCCTTCAAATCTCGCAACGGGATGAATGTGGTCTGCTCGGGCATCGAACCCAAATTCAACAATTCCGAGTCTTGAACTATTGGTAGTTGATTATTGCTGAATACCAGATAGACAGTTTCATCCTGGAAAGTCGGGGCACCGAATGGATTGATTAAACTGGAGTTCCATCGGACGTACTCGCGCGGATCGATGCGAACCACTTGAGTGGAGTAGCTCTCAAACGAAATGACCGACTGGATGAACACGACGAATAGATTGTTCGGCACGGTACAAATCGTTTTGATCATATTGTCAAGCAACCATTGTTTGACTTGTGGTGTCGCTTCGAACACCACATTCGTTTGTGGTGGCTCGGTCGGTGGAGCTGTTGGTGGCAGTGTGGGTCGTATTGGTGGGACTGGTGCGAACGGGTTTGACCAGCTGAACGCTTTGCAGAGAAAATTATCGAACACGTCTGGACATTCGCGGCAACACGAGGCACTCACACTGCCAGAATGGAATGCGTTCAGAGTGCAGATGAAGACAATGAGTGTTTGCGCGTTCATCTGCATTGTGAGGTGTCGTCAGATGGAGTTGTCTGCTGTTCTGATCCACAGTGTTTGAGAAATGCTCAGTCGAATACTTTGTTGCACGTGTTCACCGTGATTTCGCTGTCCATGTTTATATACTGATCGGTATATTGTGCAATACAGGAAACGGTATGATCACGCGTGAGCGGTGCGATTTCTATGTTGCTTGAATCCAGATGTTGGTCCATTTGTGTCCCGGATTGTGTGGATTGCCACCTTGATGGCAGCACCCACTGGTTTTTCAAGTGTTGTCGATTTCCACTTTCTTGGTCCAACAATTAGGAGACGGAAGCCACCAGGATCACGACGGTTCATCTTTTAAGTGTTACGAAATTTGGAATTCATTTTGGGTGGTTGTCACAATGTGACTGTTTATATTCAGTTCTGAGATTGTCCTGCTGCTCGCGTCTTGATTATACTTCTGCTGTTTCCCCGTGTTTCGGTGTATTTCTCAGAACTCTGAACTCCGGTTCCTTTATGTTTCAGAAATCGATCACGATATAAGGCGGTAACGCTTTTGGTGGCCTTCCAACCGACAAAGCACACTCGATCATGTTGAGATCACTGCAAATAAAGTAGAGCAGGTTTCAGATATTGGTCGAAATCCCTCGCACTAGTTGGAAACACGATTGAGATAGATAGGACTCACTTTTTCGGACGGAAGGTGTAGTCACACTCCTACGCTCACAAGCCGCCCTGTGTTTGAGCTGGACAGATCCCGACGAATAGTTGTTTCGTCCACAGTCCACTGTGCACCTGCCTCGTCGGATTCATTCGATTGTGCGACACTACCAAACGGTGTCACGATATTCAAAGGGCATGTCAGGAAATTACGAACCCAGGAACTAACTGTCTCATGTGAATGATCTGTGGTGGATCCCACCTATATTCTTCGGCAATTTTCCAGCGTTCGATTTGCTCTCTCATAACTTTGTGTTTCTGATCGTATAATTCCTGACTTCACTTATTGTTTTCAAGCGATGTATACGGTGTATACGAGCCCAAAACACATCTTCATGTGTGTCTCATGAAACAAGCTTTGTTTTCGAATAACTAAATAGAATCTAACCTTGGTGAAACGCTGCAACAGCCGAAGTGAGTGAAGTGAGCATCATTCAAGTCTAAGAAATAGCAACTTGGACTCAGCGGCGATTACCGATTTGCCTGTACTTTAAACAACCACAGAGTTGGGGCGCAAAAAACACTCAGACAACCTCACCGGAAGCAATATTCCACATGTTCATCTTCATCAGTGCGTTGACAAGTATGGTGATTCATAAATTCGCATGACGGATCGGTTTTTGTCTCAACTGGTGTTCAGACACATACCTAAATGACTTTCGACCTTGACGAGGCAACCCGTGATGCACAAGAACCCGAACTCGTCTATTTCAAACTATCTGAAGAACAAATCACACATTTGTGTTGACCTGGTCCTGTAGGCTACTGTTACGTAATGTGGTTTTGAGGCTGTTGAACTTCAATGAAGCTTTGCGTATTTTGACTCACAATCCACCGTCCCGTTTACGGAAGAAACGTGCCCGATACGGGTGCTTTGCAGGGCAGTAGTTTCAACCGTTTCGTTTCACCGTGACTCAGTCGGTAAACAATCGGTGCACATCGTTGCTTTTTGACCTCAGTTTGTTCTGTATTGTTTGTAGATGAACATTGTAAAGACCGATTTCCAGCAGCGACTCTATGCGCAGTAATTTTAGGGCCCAACACAAGAAATCGGATCACACCAGAGAGCGTGCCGATCGGAACCGCATTGCCTATTTGATGAATGATCGTGAGAGCACATCAATCGAATAAACGATGGCCTAAAACTAGATCAAGCTGGCGCACGGACAAAACGGATTGGAAGGATAATGGTCATGTCAATCGGTCCCCGTCCTTCAGCACACTCCCACGTGCTTGAAAATTCATCGAAAACTGATGGACGAATGCTTACGTAGGAAACATTTTCTATACGCCAATTGTAAAACATGTATGGCTCCCTTGGATTGTGCAACGTCTATTTTCTTTCCATTTGATGTAATGGTGAATACCATTCAGGATTTCATGTGGGTAATTGATGAGTGCAATTCACCTAAAGTGATTAACAAATGGACCTAGACGGCTTTTTTGGTTTACTCGTTCACAGTGCTCATCCGAGAAAGAGCACCGGGACAGCTCATTTAGACTCGTGATCAGTTCGCATACTTTTTGTGTAGCTGCCAGGCATCGAACCGCGAACAGTCGGGTTGCTGCCTGCGAAATAACCGAACCCAAGTGAGTAGCACGCTTGCGTTCGTCCATGAAGGCCCGGGCTCAATCCCCAGTTGGGTCGATGGATTCGCTCATTTATGCTGACGAGATTCAACCAGATGAAAACATTTTTGCAGTGCTTCCTAGCGTTTCAGTTCACGCTTCATTTGCTCTATATATGACAAATTCCTTCTATGAAGTTATGTAAATTCATTAAAATCCACTGTTTATCGCACCCAGTTACACAACCTAGTGTCTTCAGTCATCGTTTTAGTTGGTCTCAATGAGTCTGAATGTCGGGTCTACACATCCAACCTCACTGATTAAGTGTTTCACATCTCCGTGCTAGTGCAGAGTCTGATCGCCACTGAGATTGTTCCAAGAAGCATTTATGGTAATATGTGTGAAGTATGTCCCAGTCATTGCAGTTTATAAAGGCTGAACTTTCGAGTAGGACTGAGAATACGATATTGCCAATTCACAGAACGTGACTGTGGTGACCTGGGCCTGCGAGATGACGCGTACCCTGGAGCGACACGTAACAGTTTTTGGACAAGTGCGATCAATCAAACTTCACGGGTGACGTCAACAAGGCGCGTAAGTGTCACTGCTTTTGATTGCATACCACAGGTAGATCACTCTGGCAAATTAGAGACCATGCAGCCCAGACAGAAGCAGAACGATGCAATCAATATTGGAACACGATTGGTAGAAGCCCGGATAAACACTGAACTTACATTGTACATATTATTTAATCCTCATTATTTCTTCCAATAAACGAACTGCTACTCCTGTCACCTTAACCTCGCGTCGAAGATACGTCGGATATTGCGTGCTAGTGCCAATGCGGTCGAGTGCTGAGGTGATCCAGTCCGTGATTGCTAATCCTTGATTCGTATTCCCTGACTCGTATTGTGATGTTCGTATGACCAGTAAAGAGTGCAGTATTATTATTAACATAAATATTATTATTACTACTACTTCAACTACTACTTCTACTACTAATACTACTCCTACTACCACTCCTACCAGTGGGGGCAGACATCTTACGCAGCTTAAGGACCGTG